AGTATCAATGAATAAATTCAATATCAATAAATCCGTCGATATCAATAAATTCATACAGAAATCAATAAATCCGTTCAATATTGATAAATCAGTTCAACATCAGTGAATCCATAAAGTAATCAAAAGAACAATACTTTACACATACATTCCAGTGCAGTAATCTTACTTAACAAGTACAATCACTAGCTATTAAGACATTTTTTAAGGTTAGTATCAGTGTTAGTAATCCGTTAGCTCAATAAATAGAGTCGTCACCCTTGCCCGTCGGCACAGTAATCTCCTTATAACTCCCATAAGTAATCATGTGATCAGTAGAGGATAACACAAAATCCTTTTTAAAGGAAAGCCCGTCGGCCCACCATCCTGTACAGATCAATCAGTCTCCAACCAACGATTCAAGTAGTCTTTACTTGTCTTTCAGTAATATAATAGTAGTAGATTCAATCATATATCCACATTCATATATATCTCATTAATACATTACAATCAACAAACACAACTTAACTCAATTGAAGAAAATCCTTAAAATATCATATAGTCGACAGAAATCATAAACAAAGTCAAAATACACAGTTTCAGAAAACTACCAAATTACAAGAAATCGTGTAAAATATAATTTCAAAGCTTTAGTTGTACTGAAGCAATATTTTTCAACATCCAAAAAATTATCTATTCGATAAAAATCTCACAGAATTCATAATATACGATGAAAAATATCCAGAAAATATTTAAATCGTGTAAAATCATCATTTCAACAACATACCAAAAGTTATGCGGTAAAAGTTTCATCAATACAAAAATATGCACGTTTTTCGGTAACGGAAACACAAATACGAGCAGAAAAATACTAAAACACAAAATCTTTGAAATCAAAAATAGGATTCGAATTCCTTACTACGAGATAAACAATTCATCCAACTGCGTCGACGGACGAAAATCGCTCCGCGGCATCCGAAACCAAGCTTTTCCTTCTCTTTTCTTCTCTTTCTCTCTCCATCTTTCTCTCTCTTCAAAAATATCTCAAACGGTCCTTGAATAGAGAAAAAGATATTTACGTTCGTCTAGACAATGTTTCTCATTCGTCCCGGGACGATCTCCTCTGTATATTGATCGTACAGACGATAATGGATTTTGGTCCCTGAACGATGCTCCCTGGCAAAAAAATTTGTTCAGTTCGTCCAGACGAACTTACTGTTCGTACAGACGAACCTGCACTTAGTTCGTACAGACTAACCATACAGATTTTCAAAACTTTCTTCAGTTCGTACGGATGGTTTGTACGTACTAACAGCACAATAAAATTTTTTTTTTCTAACAATAACTTGAAAATTTAAGGGTTTCACATAAGCATTGACCTATCAAGCATTGTAGTGCCAGATGATGTGTTTGAGTGCCGCGGTGCCCATATTTTTAGCACTGCAACGAGTGTCATGCCCCGATATCTAAAATGGAAGAATTTCTTTTCTTTTTCTCTCTTTAAAATCTTTTCATTTAACAACTTATGATCTCCATTTCAACTAGATCCATTTGATATCCATAGATAATTAATAACATTAAGGAAATATAAATAGTGTAAAATATAATCATATTACTATAGTAGTCAATATTTATATTCTATCTTTAGGGTTCAAAATAATATATAGTAATAATAATAATAATCTTTATAGGCTAAAAAATAATACATATAACCCAAGAACTTAAAGTAAAACCAAAACACACTATTGCCTAGCCTCAAGCTACAAGGCCCTTATTTTAACCTGAAATCATATAAAATTACACAATGAGGACCCAGCAACTAATCAAAATCTTACAACTAAAATTAATGCAAAATAAAAAAAGAAATAGTATGTTTTAAATCATATAAAAATATATGAATCAATATATGTTATATGTATTGATCATCTGTGTCAATCAATCAATCATTCTATCATACATCACATCTTATTAAATCAATCAATCAATTGTTATGCCTTTATCATTCAATAATATCATCCAATTATTCTTGTCAATCTATCAATTATGCAGTAGTATTAGTATATGTATTCAATAATCGTAAGTAGTAATAAACCACAGTGTCTGGTTAATGTCCGTATAGTATTAGTGATAGTAGTCAATATCAATATTAGTAATCAATATCAGAAATCAGTGTCCTGTATTTTAGATAATCATATGAGGGTATCTTGTATCTTAATCCTGTACTTATGACTCCCATTCAATAATCAATATTAATATTAAAATCATTTATGAAATAGACAATATAATAGAGGTGACTATTACAAGTTTAAGTGGTGTCTCTTGCCACGTAGCGCTTTTTCTTCTATAGGGATCAAGAGGTGACTCTCATGGCGTAACACTTTGTCTTATATGACACTTAGTTCTTATCTTTCGGTTGATATATGTCTCTGACACCACTCTCTCAATCTCATATTCATATTCATTAACATCAATCATTTTAATTTATATCATATTTTAGTAATTTCATATCAAATCACATTATATTACTTTTAACCCATTTTAATATATATTTTTCTTACTCATTTCACATAGAGATTCCTACACACATATTTAATCGACAAAAATATAATAAAATTATATAATATTGTTTAGAATGATTAAATATATAACATGTCGAATGTTATACGACAAAAACTGACAAATTAAGATATAATATATTTTCGTCAGATTTAGGAGAGATAAAAATTGTAGGAATTAAAAGCATCAAAAACAAAAGTAAGAGAATATTTACTTCAAATAGAATAAAATTCGTAATGTATAAACGAGGAACAAAAACCGCTCGAAGATCTTTCTCTTTTCTCTTCTCCCCCTTCTTCTTCTCCTTCGGTTTCTTCCCGGGCAAGGCATGAGAGTGGGTGAGGGAGAGGAGAAGGTGGCATGAATATATATATATATACACACATTATTAATGGACTAGCACCCAATGCTCTGACCCAAAAGCTGCATGTTAAATTAAAAATTACTATAGAAACAGAGGCATCAACGTTGCGGCGACGATTTCTAGTATCGATGTGTTCTTAAGACTAGCACCTTAGTGCTCACAATCTCAATGCCGCAGCAGTCCAATTCAAGCAAAAATTTAAATACTCAATTTTAAAATACATTTTCATATTTTATGTTGACACAGCGGGGCAGTTAAGAGTCACTGGGGGAACATCATGTTAGTCATCCCAACACCATAATAGAGCCAAATCAACAATGCTGAAGCACTAGTTCATTATTTTAACGCCGCAACACCACCCTGTTGAGCACTGTGGCGTTTGAATCAATTTATGTGAGTAAATATAAATAGTTTTATGTTCTTTTGAAAGAAAAAGAGAAGAGAGTGTGCAAAAATATTTAGTGAAGTGGCTGGTCGTATTTGTAGTGGGAAAATTTTACTTAGGAGTGTAAGAGAGTGTGCAAAGCGAACAACTGAAGTGGGAATCATCCTGGAAATAGTCCATCTACATGATCTGTTTAGGATTCTCAAATTCATGTGATATTTTCTTCTTTGTATCTCTTCTTGAAAGCAAGTAATAAAAAGTTTTTTTTTCTCTAAATTAATTCTATGGCTGACTAACTTCTTAGTTTTGGACTGTTGATGTGAATAATCATTGTATTTTCTAATATAAACTTATGTTTGTAAGAGACTAGTTGTTCTCAATTACTCCCGTGTTTAATTTAATTCATGCAATGGCCGTGCATGAAGTTAAAATTTAGTGTGATACATTGCATCAACAGATGAATGTTAAAAAAATTAGGATGATTGAGATAGAAAACTTTTATGCCTAAATATAAGATGAATTGGTTTCTAGGTATATGGAGATATAATCACCGTAAAAAGATGAAAATCTTTCTTGACACCTTTATAAGCTTGACAGAGATTTAAAGGTGTATATGCTTTGATTCACAACTGTTGTAGATGAGTCTACTTAGGAAAACATGGATTCATTCACTATTATTAGTCCAAAATATCATAATTTCTTGTTATGTTCACTTTTTATTGCTTTTTTTAAGTAGTGGTAGCACCTCACCATCATTTCATTTTGTAGGATAAATTTTGTGGCTTGAGTAGGCAGTAGTACATACAACCATAACACACTTGTGTTCTTATGGGATCAGCACTCTACTAATATATTTTAAGGATTTTTACATCCATAACACCTAAAATTATTGAAAATACATTTTTAACACGTAAACTTCTATATTTACTAATATACCACCTAAAACACCTCTTTTAATCAATTCTAACATTCGTTCAAACCTTCCATCAAAAATCACTATCAACGACTGTCTTCTCCGTTAATGACATCCTTCCACAGTGAATACAAGTATCTCATCGTTTCAATTGAGTGGTAGAATAGAAGGAAAAGGGGATTTTAAGTGGTATATTAGTAAATATAGAAATTTAGATGTTAAATATGTTTTTTTTAATAATTTTAAGTGTTATGTATGTAAAATCCCTATATTATATTACTTATTCAACATGCGCACTTGTGTAATTGCAGGGAATATTACATAGACATATTTAGTAGTAGCTAAAGCCGCGCAACCCATCATGACCCCCTTATAGGAGCACTACGCCGCAGCATCGCCACAGCCCCGCAATACACAATTGTTGTGGCAAAAAACTAAGAGCTAAAAGCTGTGGCGCCATTAGACCCAACACCATGGCGCCCCCAAGTGAAAAATTTTAGATTTTCGAAGCATACATATAGGCCCCGTTTGCACCAGCACTCACAGAACGCCCCAGACTTGTGCACCTACACCCATGTTTGTAGTCGCGCTCATGTAGTCCTGCACATGGCTCGAGTTGGTTGGCGTGCGGCTCTTTCGTAAACTTGGGTTATGGGTCAGATTGGGTCAATACGGTAACCTGTTAGATCTGATCCGAATTTGAATTTCTTACCCAAATTGGGTAATCAACTGGGTCGGATCCGAGTTAATTCCCAATTCAACCCAAACGGGACCTGAACAACAATTTTGCCACCGCTAAAACAAACGGCCCAAAGGGAAATATCCATGGAAGTGACCTCTCGTTTACCTTCCCGCCCCAATGAGTCCACCAAACCTGCCACACATCACCGGTCTCTCTTCCTATAATCTGCCTCAGATATTCCATCCTCTTCGATTCCGAGGTCCCCAAATACTACTCTCAATCGTCGAACCTGCCAAAAATCTCCTTTACAGCTCGTATACGGCTTCCCCCAAACTCGATGTCTCTCTTTCGAAGCATCATCGAGCTAGGGTTTCCCTTGGCCGAGCAGATGAAAGGCTTGGCCGGAAGAAGGAGTGCGAGGATGAAGGAGAGCAATTCGATGATCTGGGTGTGGAAGGGGAGGTCTTTCAGAAGACGCTGAGGCTGGTAGAGTGCTCCATGTTTGCTTCCGTTACTGGCCTTGCCTACTTTTTGAGCAATTCCCTTGCCATTGAGGTCAGTTGCTTCTTTCCGACTTTCTTTTTAAATTCATATTATTGGAGAATCTGAGTTACCTTTGATGTACAATTTATCATGAACCGAGTTTTCGCATGTTGGCAAAACGATTTTTGGCATGTATGTTGGCTGTAATTACAGTGTCAAGTAAAAAAAGCTCCTATATTAAAAAAAAAAAGGTAAAAAAAGCTCCTTTTTTCCTTTGATGGTAGTGATGCTATGAATTTTTTTTAACGCTTTGTCTTGCTGAATAAAGTAAGTATGCCTGTTGGATTTGTTTTCTTTAGATCTTTTAGAGCTGGAAGGCGTTGAAATATATTTTGATTGATATTTTCCTATGGAAAAGCAAAATGCAAGCCAGGGGTCCTTTGTTGTTCAAGCAGAAGTCTCTCCTAAATAAAGCAACAGTTCGTTAGCTAAGTATACAGCAGCAATGGTATCTCGAACAAAAAAACAAGGATTTATGGATCTACTTAAATGTATCTGGGTCAGCTAGCTGCTTGTGAAATTCTTTGGAAGGAATGTTCTCTAGGAGCTCATTAATATCCAACAAACCATGAATTAGGGAAAACCTAGGTTGTTTTCAGAGTGCTCTACGAAGTGTTGGAGAATTAGGCAAGACTTATTCACAACACCAAGAATAAATAAAAAATAAATAATATCAAACAAAAAATACAACAAAAATTTTGTACATATTCACATAATTGATAGCTACATCCTATTGTTATTGCGGTAGATTTCACTATGATTTCGATTATGAAATTTTTATTGCCCTAATATCTCCAATATCACCTAAAAAAGGACACCTCCTTTATAAAGAAAAAATAGGATAGTTGAAATAATAAAATGAAATTTCCAAAACACCTTTATTAAAAACAACTTGCAAATATTCGATATCTTTTGTGAGTGGAGGCCCCGAACTTGTGAGGGGGGCTCTTGACCCCTTTGGTGACCTTATTGCAAATTGATTTTGAGTAAGTTATTTCTTCACAGGGCATCAATTAGGCTCCACAACTTAACACTTATATGCAATAGTTTCACTTTGTCAGTTTTAACTTATTTGCATGTGAAATTGTTAGAAGGTAATTCCCAATAGTTCATCAAAATATTATGTTTTTAATTATTGTTGCTTTTTTGTTTAATTGCTTTCCATCTAGTGGAAGTCTTTATTGTCCATATCAATTCCTTGTTCTTGAAGATTTATTAAAGTTATATTGTATTGAATGATCTTGTGAGGAGCAATGCTCTGATTCTCTTTGTGATCCAATGGAGATGCTAGTTACTACCTTTAGAAATTATTTAATAAATTGTAAAAAAAAAGTCACATCCAAGGTTTTTGACAAATTCATTAAATCTGATGACTCTTTTGGTTTTCTAGTACTTACGATGAATTAGAATTATAGCTTACTTTTTAAGAAGTGAACGTAAGGAGAAAAGAAGTGAACATAAGGAGAAAAGAAGTGTTTTAGAAAGAAAGTAAACATTTCCTTTTAATTTGGACTTAGAATTAGAATAAGAGAATGAAAAGTAGGGGAAAGTATTTCCATAAGGAGCATTTTGTTATGAGTAGCAATGCTCTTTTACAATTGAATGTTTTCACAGGGATAACATATTAGGCACTAGAATTGAGCGATTTTGAGCTTGCTGATAACTCGAGGGAGAAAACAATAAGGGAAGAAGAAGATAAATAATAAAGGAAATTTAGTGTTAATATTTTTTATCAGAGCTATTACACCACGACAGTATCACCTTCATATGCCTTTTTCCGTCTCCATGCTACCCATAACAAATTAGCCAACTACAGTTGGATTTTCCCAAAACAAAGCCATAGCTTCCTGAATGTGACCATCATTCTCCTTGTTACAGCCTTCTTTTCCTCTTACAAGACATCTCTTATGACCAAGACTTGGACATTTTTGTACCATTCTAGACTTAGCCTTGCCCTTGCTCTCTTCTGCTCCTCATCGTCTTTGGCTACTACATTGATCTCATCAATTTCCTCTTCATCTTCGAGAACAAACCTACCCTCAAGATCTATATCACAAAATATGTCAATTGATTCCTCCTCCTCACCCTGTGGAGTCCTTCGATTGTAACCCATCCCATTCAAAAAGGTGCAGCACTTCCATTTTTCTACCACCGGACACACGCTAATAGTTTAGGATAAAAAGCGGCCACACAAATCGATGATTTTCTCTTGAAGTCAATGTCAAATTGTCAACTGAGCATTATGCCATAATAGGCCCTATTGTTAAGGCTTCAATAGAGAAACATGATATACTAATTTGAATTTGTGGTTTCTTTGTTAAGTTCAACTTATATGCAATGAATCCTACTCATTCTATGACTTGATAAGGATTTCCTAATACCTTCTTAATTTCAAATAAGTTTGTTATTGTATAGAAACTTGTCGGTATGGTTACAACTTAACCAAAGCAAACATTTCCACTCACAACTCTAGTTCACTAAAATGCTTGTCAGCATGCTACTTTATGCATATTTTTGTTCTTTGTAGGCGTTCACGAAGGTTGTGCAAGGCTATGTCCTCTACAGTAGCTCACTAAGAACTTTGTCGGAAGACTCTTATTTGACATACGGATGAATGCATGGTGGAAATCTCACATGTAAGGCCTAAATGGTGTCTTGCATATTGATGTGTGGTAGGTGGCGCTTTAAGAGAGTTCATCCCATGGCAGGAATTGAATCCATAATGTTGCTTTATCTAACGAAGCAACAAAGATATTGGCATAGTTCCCTATTAGTCTCTTCCATTTGTCCATTGGCTTTAAAATTATAGGGTGTGTTGTACTACGCTTTGTGCCCGATGCCTTAAATAGTTCTTTCCAAAAATTACTCAAAATCACCCTACCCTAGCATGAGGTTATCAACTTTGGTATCCCATGTCCCTTGGTGTTTGTACAGATTGGCAATAAAAATAGTGGCGACCTTAATTTCCATGACTTTAGGTGGTTAAGTTGAGAAGTGTGCTTATTTCATGAGACGACCCAATATGACCATGATGGTTATCCTCCTCCTAGATATTGGCATCCTTTTGGTGAAATCCATGGTCATGTCTTCCAACGCAATGACTAGCATTAATAGTGGCTGAAGGAGGTTGGTGTTTTGTTATTTAACACATTGAGTAGCTTTGGATGAACTCTTGCACATCACTTCTTAGTAAGGGCCAATAGAATTGTTCCAAATTTTGATGTAAGGTTCTCTTGAAACTTTTGTGTCCACCAATGTCAATGTAATGGTATTCCCTTTGGACTATCGCCTGTAGAGTTGAAATGTCTGTTAGTAGAACACATATGTTCTTTCAAACCAAGCCTTCCTTTATTATATATTATATATAGTTTTCTGGATTTGATTGTCTTCTTCTCCAATTTCATAGCCTCAGGTGCTTCGTATATCATTGTCCTTATTTGTCTAAGAGTGAAGATAGTGGGTGTTGATAATGAATCCCAGTTTTTGTATCTCCTGCTTTGCTCCTTTATCATGTCGATTGGGCAGAAGATTGGCCTCTTGGTTATTTACTCCTGAATTGTATTTGGTGGAGAATTTGTAACCAAATGATTTCACTAAACTCATTGTTATTCTGAAGTTTGAACCAATTGCGCTATGATTTCACAAATACCCTTTTGATTAGTTCGTATGGTGAACCTTCCACCCAAAAGGTATTGCCCCCACCTTGCTACTGCCTCAATGATGGTAAACAATTCCCTCATGTTAGTAGATGCTTATTGCAATTTGGCATTCAACCTCTTGCTTTTAAAAGCTATGAGTTTTCCATCCTGGCTTAGCATTACCCCGCCACCACCCCATAGATGTTGATTTCCACATGGAATGGGTTTTCAAACTTTGGCAACTATAGGACAAGTGGGTTAGCTAAAGCATTCTTCAAATTTCCAAAAGCTTCCTTGGTTGTCTCGTCCCAATGGGCTGCATATTTCTGCAGAAGTGAAGTAAAAGGAGTTGCAAAGTGAAGTTAGCTAACAAACGAGTTCCTTCGCAGGATGCTTTGGCCTAAGCCCTTTTGTTTCGGCCACTTGTCCAAAGTACTTGATTTTTTGATGTGAAACATGCTAGATTAAGAATTGCTTAGGAATAATAATGAATTGGCAAGCTTAGCAATTATATAATAATGACGATTAAGGGCAGATTTAAGCGACTTCTCAATTGTTGATAAAATAATAGCAAACAATTACAAGTGTTGGAGGGGTCAGTAAAATAATAACCAAGACAATATGTACTTATTTGCAACTCACACAAATCCCACAATTAACAATTAGAACAGTCATAGTGAAGTTCCCTCACTCACACTCTTCGAATAATTTCAGCGGAAGAAAATTTGATATGATATTAACAACGCCACTAAGAAGAAGTAAATGTTTAAGGTTTTTGAGAGAGTTACCCAGAAAAGTAGTGGGTGGACTGTAGGTGAGTTGCCATTGGACGGGAGGTCTTCGATGGTCAATGGCAGTTGCAAGGGAGAAGCTAATCCAATCCACGTATTCCTTGACGGTGTGGTTGTTCTCGAAGTCGACGTCGAAGAAGGGAGACTGGTGAATGTTGACTAAGCCTTGATTGTCAAATACAAATCCTTGATCAAGCTCAGGATCAGCCATCCATGGACGACTGGGCTGTCCTCGATTTGGGTAGGGATGCAAACGAACAGAGCCAAGCCAAGTCAAGTATGTGCGTGTTCATATTTGAGTTCATTTATTATCAGCTTGTTCAAGTTTGATTCAAGTTTGATTCAAGCTTTTTTGTTTGTGTTCAAGCATTGTTCGTTTAAATTAATGGGTGTTCATGTTTGATTCATGTTTAGTTAATTTCATGCTTATCGAGCTTTAAACAAACGAGCTTTATCGAACTATAATTGTCTCTACTTCTAGATGTATATTAACTTAACAAATGAGCTTTATCGAGCATTCTAACAAACAATTACATTGATCATGTTCGTGAACATACCTAGTGAGATTTTTTAAATTATTAAA